TGTATTTTGTCCCTTCTGTCTCCCCGTTGCTCAGAAAAGCAACTTCGGGAAGATCCTTTGCTAGCAGGCAGGTTCTCGGATGCCTGCTGCCACCAAAGGACCTTCCCGAGGTTGCTTTTCTGAGCACGGGGAAAACGGACGGTATCTTGTCCCTTCTGTCTCCCCGTTGCTCAGAAAAGCAACTTCGGGAAGGTCCTTTGCTAGCAGGCAGGTTCTAGGATGCCTGCCGCCACCAAAGGACCTTCCCGGAGTTGCTTTTCTGAGCACGGGGAAAACGGACGGTATCTTGTCCCTTCTGTCTCCCCGTTGCGGGAAGGCCCTTTGGTGGCGGCAGGCATCCTAGAACCTGCCTGCTAGCAAAGGACCTTCCCGAAGTTGCTTTTCTGAGCACGGGGAAAACGGACGGTATCTTGTCCCTTCTGTCTCCCCGTTGCGGGAAGGCCCTTTGGTGGCGGCAGGCATCCTAGAACCTGCCTGCTAGCAAAGGACCTTCCCGAAGTTGCTTTTCTGAGCAACGGGGAGACAGAAGGGACAAAATACAAAATATACTGACTTTTGATTTCATTACAACCTCTTGCAACTTCTGGGAGCCCTGGAGAAGGAAGAGGAAGAGATCCGAGCTATCCATAAATCAACCAATGCTCTGTTCCGCTGCAGCTGACCAACACTGCTGCCTCTGGCCGCCACTACCTCCATCTTTGGCCTCAGAGCCCAGCCACCCTCCTGCTACCCAGACCCATGGTGATCTTTCTGTCTGTGAAGTTGCAAGGGATCTGAGGTAAAAGATCTAAGTGATTGAGGAATGACCCTGGGAAAGTAGCCTGGAGAGAGTTAGACCACAAAAGTGGAGATGGATTTATTTTTCTTGTGGTGGATTTATTCTTCTTCAGAAAATACCACTTCAGCAACAGAGTGGTCAACACCTGGAATGCTCTACCTGACTCTGTTGTTACATCTTCAAACCCTCACAGCTTCAACCTTAAACTGTCTACTGTGGACTACACCCCATTCCTAAGATGTCCTTAAAGAGGGCCTGCATAAGCATACCAACGTGCCAACCACCCCCATCCTAATGTCCCCATTTATTTGCATTCATTTCCTTCATCCATATCCATTTTTATATTTATACCTGATATTTTGTACTTGTTTGACAAACTAATAATAAATAAAATAAATAAACTAATCTTCTCTAATAAATAATTCATTTGCAACTTTCTAATTATGTCAACTCTGCAGGCCACTCAATAATGGAGCCAAACAATTATCATTCCACAGAGAACCATTTAACTATTCAACTAACTCTCTTCCTATTGCAAGGAGTTTTGCAAATTTACCCTCAGGAATATTTCAATAGAAGGAAATACGACAAGGCCAATTACATTTAAGAGTAGATGCAATAGTTCAGTGAGGCAGTGTTGTGCAATCATTATAAATGCATAAATGGAGAGCTGTGTCCTGTCCCAAAAGTAAGATTTGGCCCAGAACCAATCCCAGCATGAAGATCCTTTATCTGCTGTTCACATTCCTTTTCCTTGCATCCCTGTCTGAACCAGGTAAGAAACCAAATTATTGATAATTTAGAAATGACTGATGACTCACTACCTTCTAAGCAAGTTTGATCATCACTGATAGCAGGATAATATATCATAGCAAGACTTTCTTTGGTCTGAATCTTATCTTTTTCTTACATACTACCTGTCAGTTTAACTCTGGCCAGGTTTAAAACCTGGGTTGATAGATGATATTTGGGGCTGAAGGGACATTAGCAGAAATGGATTCCTTGGCCAGAGAGAATTTTCTGAATTCATAGGAATCCTACAATTCTGTAGAAGAAAGTGATGTCTTAGAAAGAAAAAAATATATCTAAATAACAAGGTATCTCTACTTATCATTTCCCTGTCTACTCTTTTTCCTTTCACAGGTAATGCCCATCACAAATGTAAGAGTCGAGGAGGAAGATGCTTTTACCTTCGCTGTCCAGGAATCTTCATTGGGCAACTGGACTTTCCATGGAAATGGAAATGCTGTAGACGGTAAATAAACACTCCTCTACTAAAAATGCCACTGATGTACATTGGGATACTCTTGTTTGTACTCCAAATCATTTCAAGGCATTGACCTGAAGAGGAAACAATGTTTCAAAGGTAGAAAGAAGGGCAGGAGAGATTTTCTGTTTCACATAACAGAATTTACCTTAAACTTACTTTGATCAACCTATTATTTTATCTCATTTGTATAGCTCCATTGGAAAATAATACCATATCCATCTACCACCCTGGATGTCTTCAAGTTATGGCCAATGACCTGATATTACTGCCTGCTATCACTTTATCTTTCTTTACATGAATCAAATTGCTATGTATCAATCTCAAAAACATTTATGCATTGAAGTAAAATTTGGCAAATATTCCTTCAAATAAAGCTAAATGAGCATTTCAGATACTGTGCAGCTTTTTAAGATGGATTTGAGAACAGTATATTCATTTTACTAGGCAAATGTGTGTTTGTGTGCTATATCTCTTTGCCTACATTTCAGTGTGGAATGTGTTCCTTCTTCTTCAACCACACATTATTCCATAAAGTCACACAGTCTCCTTCTTCCTCATCTCTTTATTTATTGAAGCAGTTATTTTGCCACTGAGATCTTCCAGCTGATGTGATTCCTTGAGCAGAAGTAGAAATAGAATAGAACAAAACCAAATTTAAACTATTGACTAAGATCACACAATGGAAAATACAAGACTCAGCCTATGCAGATACTTAAGAATCCATTTTTTTAAAAAAAATCAAGCAATATCCTGTGGGATACTACTTAGAATAAGAATGTCCTTGTCTGATGACTCAATATCAGCATAGGCTGGCTCTTGGTAAAAGAATGGAAGATGTAGTAAGAGAAAATCTGCATGAGAGAGAAGATCCTTTCCAGGATGATTCTTTTAGTTAAATGGAAGACAAACAGATGTATGATATTAATTTTACTCACTAACATAATACAAATGGAAAGATTACAATAAAATAAAAATATCAAAGTGTGGCTCAGGTAGGATCTGTTAGAAACACAAACATACTCACACATACAAGGGAGTGCAACCAAAAAAGGGATACTATTGTGAACCCACTGTTATACCTATGGTCATAAAGCGATGCGATCTAATGCGATCTATGATATGCACAAATGAAAATATAATTTGCAAAATCAGAATATAAACATAGTGTACATAGTGTAAGAAACATAATAATCATAAATAAAGTCTGAACTTTCCTAATTTTCTTCCCACTGAAGTCTTTTTCACTTACTTTCCAATTCTCCTTCATTATACTGCCTAAATTTAGAAAAGGATACAAATATTAAATTTACAATAAAGTAATATAACCTCATGGACAAAAATCATCCTATGAATTCTTAAAATCTGAACTTTGAGTCATAGATCACTGAAAAG